CCAAGGTTCATAGATCTTACATTCCAGGTTCCTATGCAGTATTTTTCTTTGCAGCATCAGACTTTCCTTTCACTTCCAGGCACGTCCGCAACTGAGTGTCTTTTCTGCTTTGGGCCAACTACTTCATTAGCAATGGAGCTACTTGTACTTGTCCTCTGCTCTTCCTCAGTAGCATGTTGGATGCCTTCCGACTTGAGGGGCTCATCTTCCAGCGTCATATCTTTTAGCCTTTTGTTTCTGGTCATGGGGCTTTCTTGGCAAAGATACTGGAGTGGCGTTGCCAGTTCCTGCTCCAGGTGGATCACGTTTAGTCAGAACTCTCCACTATGACCTGTCCATCTTTGGTGTCCCTGCACGGCATAGCCCATAGCTTCTCTGAATTACTCAAGCCCCTTCACCATGACAAGGCAACAATCCTTTTTTTTTTTTTTTTTTTTTTTTGGACTTATATACCGCCCCATAGTGCTACAAGCACTCTCCGGGCGGTTTACAATTTCATTATACAGGCTACACATTGCCCCCCCCCCCAGCAAGCCCGGTACTCATTTTACTGACCTCGGAAGGATGGAAGGCTGAGTCAACCTTGAGCCGGCTACCTGGGATTTGAACCCCAGGTCGTGAGCACAGTTTTAGCTGCAGTACAGCGTTTTAACCACTGCGCCACGAAGATATTCCACACATTACAACAGAAAAATGTGTCCTTAAAGACATAAAGCACATTCAGATGTTTCAGGTAAAATCTTAAATCAATTCATTTTAAGCTGATGTGCCCAGAGCAAAATATTTGGTGTAGTACTAAAAGTAGGATAATGAATGCAAAGAATAGGGCAAAAATTAGTTCATTTCCATTTTTAGAACCAGCCATAATGGAAGCCTACGTATTTTCATATGTGACATTCCTGTCATTTATATGGATGTATAGGTTTAATTAGCCTTCATTCACCATTAGAAGAATGGAGTGACCTATTTTAAAATGTGAGTTCAATGCCTATACTTTGCATCTGGTTTATGAATTAAAGATGTGGTCTCAGTACCATCCAATCACTCATTTGTTATTATTAAATTTAGATTAAGCTCAAAGCCATGTGAAAAATTTTTTATTTAATTCTCTTTTAAGATACAGCCGCTTATTTTGTTAGAATAAATCCAATCTTCAAAGATTATTGTAGTGCTAATTAACTCTTTGAGTTTGTTAATTGGGAATTTCTAAATCTAAAGGACTTAGATGCCCACAGTGCTCGATTTCTCCTGGCAAGTTCTACACTTGAGTAACCAATTATAAAATCCAGAAATGATTTAAATAACTCTAGACCTACTGAGGTATAAGTAGTTTCTTTTGTTTATAGAAACTGAGAACCTGAAAGTACAATTGAATTTTAGTCTTAAGAAATTTCCAGCACACATAGAAAATATGTAAAATTCTAAAAGTGATTTACCTTTATTTAATTTGTTTTGTTCCATAATGTTGTACTGAACTGGTGCAGTCTCTTGTTTTTGTTGTGTAGATGGCTTCCAGTGTTTTTCATTTGAATCACCACTGCTGCTGTTGACATTATTGCTGATATTTGACTGGATGAGTTGGGTGGTTGCATAAGGAGTAGGCTGCCCTGGTTGGTTGACAAATCTTCCATCTTTTAGATTTGGGCTATTGAAAGTTTTCATCTCATTGATTTTGTTGCTTAAGTCCACATCACCATAAACTGTTGGGTCAGGTAGCATCAGATTGGTTTGCTTGTTTTCCAGCTGATTGTTGTAATTTGCTATACAGTCAGCTATCCCATGAAAGGAAAGGGGGGAAAACAGGAAAGGTGCTCAGTTATAACACAAATTTTTATCCTTGAGATGCTTAATTTGTATGTGTACTTGTGTATGTGCACAATTTTATGATATAGTATTCCAAAGCAAAAAATAAAAATAAAAAGATAACAATATAGTTGCAGTGGACAGAAAAAAATATATAGATTTGGAGCTGTAGTTCAGAGACATGCTTTTTTAACTTTTCATGTATGCATCCCTATAATGGCATGACAGTCTTGATAACTACAGTTCTTTCCAGAAACATGACAAAATACTTCCTTCATCAAGGACCACGGTAATGACATCTGCTCACTCAACTGTTTTGATTGTAAGCTATCTGTACTTGTAGCACAACACATTTGATATCCAGCAATAGAATTAGTACTATCTTGCTTGTGTTAGGACCAGTATTTTACCCTGCAGATCAAACTCAGTAGCCCAAATCCTATTGCTTAGTGTTTATCAACTGCACTACAGTAGACCCAATGAATCAATGAGGATTTGATGAGTCAACTCCTCTATAGCACAAAAGATGGAGGAGAGTGTTGGACATTTACTGACACCTTAAATATTGCACAGGTCTAGGATGATGGGTATTTGATTGTGGAAGGAACAGAGCTCTGGATGAGGAATCTAATAACGTTAATGCCTCAATACTAGGATTCAGCAACCTTAAAAGTTCTAGAATATGTGTTATTTAGCTTCAATGTAGTCTAATAAATAGAAATGGGTAACTTTAATTAGTGTATCTGAATAACACCAAAGTTCTAGAATATGTGTTATTTAGCTTCTATCAATGTAGTCTAGTAAATAGAAATGGGTAACTTTAATTAGTCTATCTGAATAACCCTGAGAATAAATAAGCAAGAGCTAACAGAACCTAAGTTCAAAGTTAAGTCTTTTAATTACATTTACCTGGCCGGCTGTATGTGGTGAGGTTAGTATCACTGTTTCCATTTCCTGAGGTGCAGCAGTTTATGGAGCAATCATTATGATTATTCCCAGTGTTCGGCCATGTATCTGCAAGCCATGGTTGAGCAGCAGGTTCATTGATGTTTAAAAGACCTGGCCTTCAGAAGACAGAGACAATAATGTACAAAATCAGCATATTTTGAAAAAGAAGCCGACAATAATGTACAAAATCAGCATATTTTAAAAAAGAAGCCATAACTTAAAATTTCACAGTGGCTGCTGAAAAATCTTTTAACAATGCTCCTGTGAGCACAGATGGTTTGCTGTATGGAAATCGCTGCCACAGGGAGAACTTGGAGCAGCATCCATGAGTTCACTGTATGAACCTCCGTTTCTTAATATCTGCTTTGGAAGTCTAACATTTTGTAAAGCTTTTTATGTGTGGAGCACCTCAGGCCTTTCTATTTCTAAACTTTGTTCGCAGAATGACTTATATTATCTTTTGCTACTGAGCAAATGTAATGTAATGTTCTTCTTTCGACTGGAATTTTCTTACATCAGCTTCTGCATCTGGTGCGAACCCATTCTTTTTACCGCTTTGGCTTTATGTCATGGGATTGTATTCTTTAATATATTTCAGCTCCTGAATTTTGCACTTCTCAACGCACTGCACCATTTATTAACTCTAGTAAGCAACAGTATCTATTGCTGTCCTTGACAAGACAAATTCCCTCATATGAGTTGTCCTCTACTTTGGTTTTCACTTCACACTTTTCCTTCAAGTCTCTCTTTAAAATCTGACTTTTTGTTAAACCTGGCACTTCACAATGGTCCTCTTCATTAAAACAAAACTTAAATGTTTGCAAATACTTTTGCTCCTATCCACCTCTTGGTACTTTTGCACCTGTGTCCTTTGTTCTTTCTCCTATTCATTCTGAAAATCAAAATTGTAGGCTCACTTGGAAAAAAAATGTGCTTCTTGCTTTTGTTATTCTGTAAGACCTTACAAACACTGATGGTATAATGGACCCCTTTTAAGAAAAAAGCAACAAAATAAATACTTTAATAAATAAGTGTACTAGTAATGTATAAATGAGATAGCATTTTTATTCAATATTCTGAGTAAACAACTAAGCAATGCTTAATTCCTAAAATGCAAAGCCTGCTCAAACATTGTACTTCCCTTATCTGGAACCCCCAATTTCAATCCATAGATTTTCCCCCCTGCTTTTTAGTATTCGGCGATGAGGAAAAGGCAGTATCTTCACACACAATGAACCTGTGGAATTCACTGCTGCAACAAATGAAGACTGTTGCCAATTTGTATAGTTTTAAAGTGAGAATGGACAGATTCACAGAGGATGACGATATCTATGTCTATGTATATTCCTTCAATTTTTCTCTCTGTATATCAGTTGCTGAGAAGAATATCAGGAGAAAGATGATGTTGCATGCAAGTCCTGCTTATAGGTTTCCCATGAGCAACTGGCTGGCTACTTAATGAACAGAATGGTGGACTCGGTAGGCCTTCGAATGACTTTTCTTAACTGCATAATTAATTCAGTATATACTAGCCCACTATTTAGTTTATTTCCACTATTTAATCTGGTTAGAACTAAGTTAATAAGCAAAATTATAGTTTCTGCAATCAAATGTAGGTTTGGTAGAACAGCCATTCTCAGTGGGGACCATATGGCCACCTGAAACATTTGAAGGGGGCCACAGACTGGAGAAAATTCTTCACACACCATATTATAAGGTTTGTTTGTGACTTCTGTAATATTGATTCAGCCTAAATTCCTTTCATATTGTGTTTATGGCTGTGACAAAAAAAGTATTGAGAATGGCAAACAAGTGTAAAAATTGTCACTGACTTCTTAAAACATGCAACAAAAGAAGGTGTTAACTCAGTTTTGGACAATGTACTTCAAGAAGGATGCTGACAAATTGGAACAAGTTTAGAGGAGGGCAACAAGGATGATCAGGGGGCTGGAAACCCTATGAGGAAAGACTGGATGAATTGGGCATGTTTAACCTTGAGAAAAGACTGAGGGGAGATATGGTAGCACCTTTCAAATACTTGAAAGGCTGTCATACAGAATAGGAGCAAGATCCATTCTCGATCATCCCAGACTGAAGGACACACAACAGTGGGCTTAAATTACAGGAAGCCAGACTTTGGTTGAATACCAGGAAAAACTTTGTAACTGTTAGAGCAGTATGGCAATGGAACCAATTACCTTAAAACGTAGTGAGTGCTCCAACTTGGAAGCATTCAGGAGAAATTTAGACACCTTACAGATGCCCTTTGATTTGTATTCCTACAATGAGTAGGAGCTTGGACTCAATGGATGTATGGCAATGGAACCAATTACCTTAAAATGTAGTGAGTGCTCCAACTTGGAAGCATTCGGGAGAAATTTAGACACCTTACAAATGCCCTTTGATTTGTATTCCTACAATGAGTAGGAGCTTGGACTCAATGGATTTATGGGCCCCTTTGATTTGTATTCCTGCAATGAGTAGGAGCTTGGACTCAATGGACTTATGGGCCCAACTTCATTGTTCTATGATTCTATGATTAATTAAGTTAAATTTGTCTGGTATTTATGAAGAAAACCTATGAAAATCAAGGTCAAGAGGGGATGCAAACATCTTTTCTAATGATTTTAAAGTGAATAAAACGAAAAAGAGATAGTAGAGGAAAATATCCAATGATACAATCAGCAATGGGAGGAGAGGATTATACTTTAATGTCTACTCTCCAAATGTAAATCATACTAATTTCTTTAAGGAATTTTGAAGGATTTGGAAAAGAGGAGGAAACGGTTTGTAATAATGGCAGGTAATTTTAGTATGATGACAGATATATAAAAAAGATAAATTAAACTCTATTACTTAAGAATCCTTGTGCTGCAGTGGTTACACTGCAGTGCTGCGGCAAAGACGCTGCTCATGACCTAAGTTCCTGACTGACTGGGTAGCTGGATCAATGTTGACTCAGCATTCCATCCTTCCAAGAGTAGTAAATTGAATACCCAGCTTCCTGGGTGGGCTGGGATGTGTAGCCTGCATAACTGAACCCTTCCAAGAGTAGTAAATTGAATACCCAGTTTCCTGGGTGGGGTGGGATGTGTAGCCTGCATAATTGAACTGTAAACTGCTCAGAGAGTGGCTTAAGCACTATAGGATGGTATATAAGCAGCACACTTTACTGAGAAAATTAATATGATTTTTGAAAAGGTTTTCATGTTATTCTCCTCCATTCATAAGAGTTACTTCAGAATACATTATATATTTGTATCTAATAGTTTGATTTTGAGAGTACTTAATGCAAATAACAGATCATGCTTTGCCACATATTAAAATTAAATATGACCATAGAGAAGTTAAAAGATAGAGATTAGATACTAGCATTTTTGTGCAAAAGAAAATAATACATAAAATAGAAAAAGAAATGATGGGATGATGGGAAATAAATAACAGACCCTACTGACTCTGAAGAATTTTTTTTTTTCATAAATCAAAGTATTAAAATATTTATGGTGATACGAAAAGAGAACTGTTTTTATTACTAAATACATTAAAGAAGCTCAAAATTGTTTTATGCTAGGAAGGCAAATGGAAAACCTGACTCGGAGAGTGCTAAATGTAATAAATGGAATATCTAAACAAAAGATAAAAACGGGTGTAATTTCATTATATATATATATTAAGCCAACATTTAAAAAGGATAATTACAGTACTAGGTTTTGATACATGTTTTAAAAGAATAATAGGTCAGTTATATATATAACAAAAAATAAATAAATAAAAGCAAACAGAAAGATTTTGGTGATCATTCATCTTGTGGAGGTTATGCATCAAATTCTCATGGGTAGCTCTGAAATTATATGTTTTTATTGAAGTCCCACAGTCTTATGGCCACTGTTGGGGGCCAGGTGTAGCTTCTTGGGTGGAGATAGGTGTAGTACACCTGCCCCCCAATAGCAGCCATGAGACTTTTGGACTTTAATAAAGACATACAATTTTGGAGCTACCCACAAGAACTTGGTGCATAGCCTGAGGAAATTTTATTATCAAAAGCCCAGTTTGCTTTCCCCCCCTTCCTCCAATAAAGATATCACCCGTTCCTTCGTTTGTATTGTTTTAGGCACCACATGGCCTTTTCCTGTTTTTTGCTAGAATATTGAAGCTATGTCAATAAGAATAAAAGGTAAAATCATAATTTAGTTTGGAATGGTACTTTACTGAAACTGAATCAAGTAGATGATAATTATTCTAAGGTGTGCTGAAGAGGGCAGCAGAAAGTAGGGACTTTTTCTCATACAGTGGTGCCTCGCTAGATGATGATAATCCATTCCACTGAAATCGCTGTTTAGCAAAATCATTGTCTAATGAAAAGCATTTCCCCATTGGAATGCATTGAAACCTGTTTAATGCATTCCAATGGGGAAGAATCGTCATTGTCTAGCGAAGATCGGCCATAGGAAAGCCGCTTTGCGAACCGCCGATCAGCTGTTTAAATAGCTGTCCCTGTGAAATTAGGTCCTGGAAACACCCGTTTTGCGAGCACATTTGCGAAGCAGGGACCAAATATTATCCAGCAAAATTCCCCCCTAGGAATCATTGTTTTGCGAATCGCCATAGTGATCGCAAAAAGTCAGTGTCTAGCGAAAAAACTGTCATGCGGGGTAACTGTCTAGTGAGGCACCACTGTATTTGATAATATATTGAACTTTTGGGAATTGTTTATTAAGGAAATAAGCTAGCTAAATTTAACTGTATGTCCTAAAAGAGTAATTTTAACAATATTTGAAAAGGAGGAAGGTAATTGAACAACTAAAGAATTAATTTCCAGTGTGTTAGCAGTGGTGAAATAGATCATTTCTAGGAACTGGAAAACAGTTTCCAATTTTAATTTAAGAGATTGTTATAGGGAAGTTAGGGATATAGCTATCAATGACAAGTTTACTTCTACAGTTAATATAAGAGAGGGGATAACAGGCAGAGATGAATGTACAGTGGTGCCTTGTAAGACAAGCGCTTCATTTAACGAAGAAATTGCATGACGAAGAAGGTTATGCGATCGCAAAAGCGATCGCAAAATGAAGATTTTCACACAGCTGATCGGCGGTTTCAAAATGGCCCCCGGGTT